TATTCGTGATCCTCAAAGTAGTCGGGGTTGGAGCCTACACTGGCATGGCAGCGAGCAAAGGACACTGGGCCATCACATGGCCCACCTGATCACAATTGTAATAAATCTTGGTGCTTGGTATCGGGGCCTGCTGTCGACAATATCTCACATAGTGTCCCTCCTTGTCACATTTGTGGCATCTAGAAGAATATCGACAAACACCCTCATGAACCTTGCCGCACTTACCACAAGTGCAGCCCCTTTGTCCTCCAGATCGTGCATATGCGGGCTTGAACCACTTGTTTGCAGGCTGTGACTGAATGGGATTCTGCCGCTGCTTCCTCGTCTGGGTCTCTATCTCAATATCTCGCCTCCTCGCGACATCATGAAGCTCAAAGAGGGTACTCTAATGATGGGTAGACACAAACTGTCGAATATCAATCTTAAGCATGCTCAAGTATCACGTCATCTGGGCCTGCTTCGAAGCAACAAACTCAGGACATAATAGAGCCCTCTTAGTGAACATCTTGGTGATATGCGTCACCATCTTCGTCGTCCATCTCAAGTCCAGGTACTCATAAGACAATCTATTCCTCTCCACCAGGGGAACATATCTCGAGCGAAACATCTTCGAGAACTGCTCTCAAGTAATAGCAGCCCTCTGCTCTGGAGTATAAGAACCGGTCACCTGCTTCCACCAATCCTTCACGCCCATCCGAAGAAGGTACAGAGAGAACTTGACCTTCCAGTCCTCCGGACAGGAATAGGTGAAGAAACAATCCTACACATCAGAAATCCATCTTATAGCCACAGTCGGGTCATTGACCCCGTCAAAATCTGGGGGATTCATGTTGTTGAAGTCCTGGTTGTGGAATGAACCTCCTCCTCAACCTCCCGCAACAATAGCAGAAGCAGCCTCCGCCACAACGGCATACCGCTCATCAAATAGCTCGATCATCACAATCTTGATAGACCCAATAACCTCGAGGATGGCACCCCGGACAACAACAACAACCTCAGTAGCAATCAACTCACAAATGTCGTCATCTGTCAATCGTGGCCTATCCTGGCCACTAGCTTCTGAACCAGATCCTCTCGTGAACACCATACTGAAAAAGAACCAAAAATATAACATAAATGCCACAGTTATACTACTACCACCATCACAAAGAGGCTAAACCCTCAGGATTTATGACTTCCTTGCTATGCGTACGGGTCCTGTGCTTCCAGTAGTATAGGCCCAGTACCCGTATTTTTCTCAACGGATTATCAAAAACTACCCTAAAACAAACCCACAACTAGGATATACATCCATCCTATATTCACTCTCTCAAGAGTGGCTAACCATTCCTCAACTAGCCTGCTACACCCATACTCACTCATGAAACTTCCACCAACCCTACAGTCGCTCGTGCATGCTAATCATACATAACATTGGATCCCACAGACAGTTAAATACTTGATTCTACCCTAATCCCACAACCAAACAATGAACATGAAATAAGGCTAAACTAAACATTCTTAGGCTATAGAATCTTAGTTATGTACAATTATGATGTACTCACTAAGAAACTACAGTAATGATGTTAATTTCATTTAACATATAAGAAGTTCTCATAGGTTATCAGGCATCATACGAATTCTATCATGCAATTCTTGAAGATCCCTAGCCTATTACTAGCATGCAGTTATATCATAAACATCATAAACAAATAACAATCTGGGTAAATTGGGGTATACTTTCTTTTTCCAGTTGATCGTACACATCTCATCCTTCCTTGGTTACTTTTGAAAACAATTTTTTGAAAAAATCATTTTGAAAATTCTAACAGATCCTTAGTTTGAGTCTGGATTCACACGAATGATCATTTAATTCTCTAAAACCAGGGCTCTAATACCAACTTGTAACATCCCATAATCACAATAAAAATTTTCCAATTTTAATTAAAGAGAAATCATTGTTTTCAATTAACCCAAGTCATAAAAATCCAAGATCAAGTACAATGTTCCAAAATCAACGTATCATAACATCTCCAAAACATATCACCAAAGGATGTCTACGATCACGCCTTTGCTTTCCCCAATCATCTGAAGTACCTGAAACATAAAACTTAAACTGTAAGCAAAAGCTTAGTGAGTTCCCCCAAAGTACCACACACAACCAAGACAGATAACAACATGCATAAATGAGCCTTCAGCCTGACTGGACCATCTCATAGAGACTACAACCTATCTTGACCGCTCACTGGGCCTTCGGCCTGACTGGACCACCTCGTAAACTTTCAATCTATCTAGACCACCCCGAGTATCTTGGCCTTCACCATAAAGCAGGATTGCCTCAACCCAACGACCATTACATATCAACATATACAATAATAACCAATAACACAATTAATCATACAGATCTACCAATCTAACGCATACTCAGTGAACACATATAATCATACAGATCTACCAATCAAACACATACTCAGCATAACATCAATCCAATATACCATGATACATAATCCAGTGGGCCAGCATTGGTGCCTTCGAACCATAAGTACAATGAGGAAAACTCACCTTATAGGTCACCTATATAACAAACAGTGACCTATACTCAAACTTCAGCTCAAAATACCCAAAATGCCCCTAAGTCAAACTTGGTCAAAGTCAATGATCAATGGTTAAAGTCAAAGTCAACTCCATCTAGTCGTCACGCCGTGTCGATCCTTGGTCATGTCGTGGCTGCTAGTCGACAGTACAGACGGGTCTCGACCCAATCGCCACGCCATGGCAACCTAAGCCACGCCGTGGGGAATGGTCTGGATAACTTAAACCATTAAGTCATTTGTCCCCAACCCCAAGAGCTCCAATGCTCAGACCTGGTCCTTCGCATGGTCTTGATGGATAAAGTTTCCTACTTTATTCCTCAAGACCCCTCAATAAGTCAAGATCCCAAACCTTAACTCTTAAGGACACTTAATGCATGAAGACTCTCATTAAGCACCCAATCCTTAGAGTTACACCTCCAAAGTTTCCAGAATGACTTCATACTCCTAATAAACCCTAAAGATCATGGTTTTATGGATATACACGTCCACTACATGTCCTATCCATTTTAAGTTAAAAACTAGGGTTTAATGACCAAAACTACATGCATGACACTAAAACTCATTCATAATTTAGATCTAAGACATCAATTATTTTGTTTGACCTGGAAATTCATAAAGTTGCAAACTTTATGAGATCCCACCACTCAAATCCATCAAGACATGAAGAAAAGGGACAAAATCAAGAGATCTAGTAACATGGCAAGGAAAAGCTTGGTTCTTGGACACTCACCAAGGTGTAGGATATGTGTTTGCTGAAGAAAAAGATCTTTCCAAGTAACTACTATACCAAGGGCTTCATTCTCCTTCGAAAATCACCAAAACGCACCAAGCATGAGCTCAAACTTCAATGGAGGCTAGGGTTAGCGTTTCTAAGTTTGAGAGGGAGATGGAGACTGAATGATCATGAAACCCTAGCCTTAATGTTCTTTATATTGGGCCCAAAGCCCGAAATTAGGGTTTTTCACTAAAAACTCATGCCACACTGTGGCACCTAAGGCCACGCCGTGGCGGGCCATTTAAATCCCGCGGTCCAAAACATCCCGCCACTCCGTGTTGATGCTTCATCATGTTGTGGCCACCCAATTTAAAGTTAATACATAAAAATTTTGATTCATACCTAGAACAGATGTTACAATCGTCAACATACAATGACATAGGCAAACATAATCTTGTATCAAACGAGTCTATGTAATTATCAAATACAAGGCTACTCTATCCGAAATATAACTCATACTTCAAATCTTGGATAATATTCATCAGGTGTGTGGATGGATTGTGTCTCGAATCCCGAAGCCTTCATCGAACAAGAACAAGTAGAGAAACTCTCTACACAATCCTCGGCCCGATTCGTACCATCTATTGATGTGTTATAAAACAAGGCTTTAAAATTTATACCATAACTATTCAACTCAGCTAAAACATAACAGGTAGTATACTTAGTCATGAAGTAGTAAAGTAGAGTAAGTAAGAGTTTATCACAGGGAATGGTATTCTAATTAAGAAAATAATGCTAAAAGTTAACCTAAAGAAACAAACTTTAATGGGGGGTTTTTATCTGATTTTTAAAGTTCAGAAAAACTTAATTTAAGCAATCACTAAAACAAAACTTTAAACAAAGGCAACAACTAGAAACGGGATTAGATCAAGATTTAAAAGATACTTGGGTTTAGCTTCGAATCCCCCTTTTCCTATGGTTAATTTCAAGACAATGGATTAATTCCGTTGGTTACCGAATTAAAGATTACTAGTTATCTTGGTCCGATTAGCTAGCGTATATCAATTTATGAACTTTAACTACAATGATCATGCAAATTAAGAACATCTAACTGATTTTAAGATATATATTTGGACTATGAATGACTAGATCTAAGAATTATCTATATATGATCAAGATAAACAATCAAACACATTTTATGATGTAATAATGCCCTCTAACATACTTAAAACAACTAACTTTACCACATATACTAGAATTTGTTTAATCACTAGGTCTAGAAATTTAATGATCATAAACAATTAGGTAATATGTAAACAATGGTAATATGTGAACAACTAAATATTTCATATTTAGTTAAAACAACTTCATTTTTGGAAAGCATACAAATATTTCATATTTTTACCCTAAATATGCTTTCCATATTTGACATGAAGCTCTTAAGTTTTTCAAAATTTATCTATTTTGTCTTAAAACTAACAAAATTTACCAAAATAAAAAGTTTTATGTCAAAAGCCCTTCAATTTTATACCAATTTACCATACGGACTCCCTAAACCATCTCAGCCGGATCAAGAATATTCATAAACTCGGAACCAAACAGCCCATCATGAACAAAATACCCCTCAGGCCTCAGATACATAGAGCAATTCAAATTCACGAATGCGTGTTTGTGTGTGTGATTGTTGAATGAATATGGTCAGAATTTTAGCAATGGCGTCCTCCACAATCCGTCCTTTCTCATCAATGGCATCATCTCCATTCGGTGCAACTTTTTCAGCCTTCAATTCATCTCGGAGGTTTAATTCGTTCGATTTGACCAGAGGTATGAAAGCGCATAGCCTTCCATTCAATTGGATTCGAGATTCTGATGCGTTTTTTTGTAGTTTCTAAGATGCATTTATTGAGGTTGGGTTCCTATTTGGAATTTTAGAATATATTATTCCTTGTTTTTTGCATTGTCGGGAGTTTGGGAGCATGGAATTTAAGGTTCAGGCTTTGTAACTAAGAGCATCCACATCGCCTCTTGCAATCTCCTTTCAAAGTACATGTAGACTTCGTTTGCAAGCCAACTAAGCATATGTCTTTCAGCAGATGAAAGGCTTGCAAATCATAAATGGGACCCATCATCTTTATATAATACTATTTAGATATTACATCCTTATTTTTATTAACATTCTAATTAATCAATTTCCTTTACATTATTTTAAGCACGATAGGTTCGATCATCAAATATTGTTTTCAACATTATTTTTTTATAGACTAATGGTCAAGTTCGTTATTATTTGATGAGTATTTATTTTAATAATTGTTTTTATTTAGATTACACATGGTCATTACTTATACTATTTTATTATTGAATTAATATTAAAGTAAATATCTTATAAAAAAATAAAGTAGTTATTGATGTGGCAGTGGAGACCATATTTGAAAGAAGGTTGTTATTGCACTGATGTAGAGGTAATTATAAATTCTGATGTGTCACGTTTGAAAGACTAGTTGTATTGCACTGATGTGGATGGTCTAAGCTTCATTTATTTCACGTCGATTCTAGTTTCAAGATGTTGATTTTGGCACCTGTAAAGAAATTTATACTTTTAGCCTATAATCAAATTCAACATGATTAGGATCTGGATGATGATCATACATTAATCGACTACTAATCAATATCAACATTCAAAAGCAATATAACACAAGCATAATCGAAAACTAATCATCCTCATAAATCATGATTATATCAAAATAACCTCATCAATCATCATCCTAGAAAACTAAATCTGTAGCTTTGTATGTTTATCCAGTGGAAATGCAGTCACAAACTTTCGGTTATAATAAATCGTGTAAGTTAATAAGACGTGAAGGAAACGTAATCTCAACTAAAACAGTCAGTAACATGTCCCAAGGAAGCACGATAAGTAGCAAAGAAAGTGCCTTGGAATGGGTCAAACGTGACAACAGAAGAATGCTCCATGTTGTTTATCATGTTGGTGATATTGATAGAACAATAAAGTAAGTTTTTTTAATTCCCATTTATGTTGGTTCTTTTAGTGTCAATTCTGTAATTTAATCAAAATGTGGGGTCAGGTTCTATAGAGAATGCCTGGGGATGAAACTGTTAAGGAAGCGAGACAACACCGAGGAGAGATATACAAATGCATTTCTTGGATATGGCCCAGAAGATTCGCACTTTGTCATTGAACTCACTTACAGTAAGCCATCCTAAAAAACTTACAATAAGACAAACTTTCTAGGGTTTTTTTAGGATTAGGAAGGGCATTTTCGTCTTTTATGTAAACCAAAGATTCATAGTACTCATTGTCCCACCTTTTTGGGTGGAACAATTTTTTAACCATCCTGATTTGTTATATGTCTTGTGTAAAAAATGGGCCTAAGACTAATTATACGATAAGGGCAATGCTTATGCACAGGTCTTTTTCCAAAATAAAAAAAGTTTACATATGCTCAGGCTGCATTTGTTATATGTGACATGACATAACAAAACATAATATGTCATGACTTAACACAAAAATGGCATGATAAGACAAAACATAATATAACTAAGAAGGCCAGGAGTGGATAAGCTTTGTAGGATTATTTTTAATGATACGGATGAGGAGGGCATTTATGTCTTTTGTGTAAACAAGAGATCAGGAGTAAGTCCTTGCCCCACCTTTTTGGGTGAGATAAACAAATGACAGTTTTCTTCTCATTGACATTATTCCCCCGTCAATTGCAGCACAACGAGTTCAGTTTCTGTTATGTTATGTCATGTCATATTTAACTGATTTGTGGTTATTAACAGATAGCCATAGGGACAGATGATGTTTATAAATCTGCAGAAGCAGTTAAAGTTTTTGGCGGGAAAATTACAAGAGAACCTGGACCTTTGCCTGATATAGACACCAAAATCACAGCATGTTTGGATCCTGATGGTTGGAAAACGGTAAAAAAAATTACCGAATTTAACAGTGTACACACTATAATTTAATTAAATAAATTGGTTTGATAAATTATTTTCATTATATTGCAGGTTCTTGTTGATAATGTTGATTTTCTGAAAGAGCTATAATGATGCTCGAGTACTTTAAAAAAATAAAAATAAAAATAAAAATCTACATGATATAGCTTCATATAAGGTCATAAAACAGGTCATCGAGGAGTTGCACATTTGAGTGTGTATCAACCTCAATTTTGTAGATGAGAAAATAGTGGTTGTTGCAGCAAGCATTATATTAATTTATATTTTAAAAAACAAGCTTAAGCATGAAAGTGTTTTTTGTAAAGGAAGTGTTTAGTATAAAGGTTTTGTAAAACAATTTTGTTGTAAGGCGTAAATAATCAACCAATTTTGTTGTAAGCGGACTCGAACCGAGCCCCAAAGTGTCATTACTCCAACTAGATGGTTTGATATAATTACTTGTAATTGTTGTATAGTTTTAGATTTTTGGGTTAATTGCAAGAAAGACCTAACATTTTAGTATTTTCTTTTTTTCAATTTAGGAGTAGGGTACCTTTTCGGTTTGGCTAATTCAGCTCATTTTTAGATTAAGTCATGGTTGTGATTGCCTACAGGACATGCCACATCAGCATTTATTAGTTGTTTTTTAACAAAAGACATGACGTTTTGTTTTCAAAAAAAAAAAAAACCTGTCTATTTGATATTTTTCGGGTTTAAACATAGTTGCCATGTAAAGATTATTACCGTTACATTTCTGTTATTACTCCTAATCATAGTTAGTTTAGTAGTTTGGATAATCAGTTAACTTAATCATAGTTGTTAATCTGTTAGGTGTATGTTAGCTAGATGTGTATATAATAAGCTGTAATATAAAAGTTTCTGTATATGTAAGAAAGTCAACAGAATGAATACAAAAAGATTCTTTCTTCATTTCTTTCTCTGTTAATATGGTATCAGAGAATTTTTTTTTGCTTCCGCATCCCTGATTTCAATCTTTATTCTTGATTGTTCCTTTTTCATGATCTTTGATTGATTCCTTCCCTTTGATTGTTTTCTGTTTGATTGATTCAATCAATCCGTTCTATTTGTGTTCTTCATTAAGATCGTTCTTTTGATTTTCTCGATCTTTTGTTTCTGTCAAAATGTTTGGAGAAAGTTCTCAAAACTCAAATGTTTCTTCAGATGATCCGTACTTTTTACATCACTCGGATAATTCTGGCACTCTTCTTGTCAATCAACAGCTTACTGGAGAAAATTATGCGTCGTGGTCTCGGTCTATGACAATTGCCCTTTCAGTCAAGAACAAACTTGATTTTGTTACCGGAGATCTTCCTCAACCTCCGGCCACTGATGTAATCCGTTTCAAGGCCTGGAATCGCAACAACAATATTGTAATTTCCTGGATCCTAAATTCTATATCTAAAGAAATTTCTTCTTCAGTGATTTACCTAAAAACTGCTTCTGCAATTTGGAATGAACTCAAAGAAAGGTTTCAATAGAGCAATGGACCTCACATATTTCAACTTAAGCGTGATTTGATGAATACAGTTCAAGGACAAGATTCTGTGAGTACGTATTTTACTAGGCTCAAAGTTCTTTGGGAGGAATTATCCAATTTTGATACTCATTGTACATGTGGTTTATGTACATGTGGAGGGGCAAAAGAAATTGAACACACTATGATGTTTCTTATGGGTCTAAATGATTCATATGCCCAAATTCGAGGGCAAATACTTCTCATGGATCCTATACCTGTAGTTAATCGGATTTTTTCCTTGGTTATTCAAGAAGAAAGACAACGTGAAATTGGAAATAATCAATCTATGAACACTCCAATGGCTTGTAATGTTCAGAGTTTCAATAACAATTTGAACAATTCAAGAAATCGAGTTTCCAACAATAATTTCAACAAAGGTTCTAACAAGAACTCATCAATGTGTTCTCATTGCAAGCGTTCATGACACACTGTTGATAAGTGTTACAAACTGCATGGATTTCCACCGGGATATCGTTTCAATCAGAACTCAAATTCAAATAGTTCATGTGTGAATGCTGTTTCTGCTGCTACAGAGGGTCAGTCTTCCTGTAATGATACAAGTTCTCCTGTTACAAATCTTACCAATGAACAATGCCAACAACTTATTGCTATGCTTACTGGTCAATTGGCTTCAGTGAATTCTGTTTCACATGATCATATGACCACTTCAGGTAATCACTATGTTCTGACTCTCTCTTCTAGCCATTACAATTCCAATATATGGATACTAGATACCGGAGCAACTAGGCATATTTGCAATGATAAAAATATGTTTCATGATCTGGTAGATATCTCACATACTCGTGTTCGTTTACCAAACCAAATGGTTATTCAAGTTGAATGCATGGGAAAAGTTAACATAAATGAACATATCATTCTCACCGATGTTCTTTATGTGCCACAGTTTGAGTTAAATTTAGTATCAATTTCTCAATTGGCTAAATTCAAAATTGTTAAGGCAAAGTTTTATCATGATTATGCTATTTTGAAGCAGATACACACCAAGAGAATGATTGGCAATGCTAGAGTACATGCTGAACTTTATGTGCTTGAAGATATGCGTATAAGAGCACAAGCACAAGTGAATGTGAATGCAGTTTCAGCTGATTGTTGGCATCAACGGTTTGGACATCCTTCAAATGAGAAGTTGCAATCTATTAGTAGTATCACTGTTTCAAATAAAGATTTGAATAAAAGTGTATGTTCTATTTGTCCTTTAGCCAAACAGAAACGTTTACCTTTTCAGTCTTTCAACAATATTGCAAATGAACCTTTTGAGTTGATACACTGTGATGTATGGGGGCCTTATCATGTAAAGGATTATAAGGGATATCAATATTTTGCAACTATTGTTGATGATTGCACTAGATTTACATGGGTATACATGATGAAGCACAAATCTGATGTTCAAAGTATAATTCCACGTTTCTTTGCTATGATTGAAACGCAATTTAACACCAAAATTAAGGGTTTTCGGTCTGATAATGCAAAGGAATTGGCTTTTACTGAGTTTTTCAATCAAAAAGGAGTATTGCATCAATTCTCTTGTGTTCAACGTCCAGAACAAAATTCAGTGGTCGAACGAAAGCACCAACATATATTAAATGTTGCTAGGACATTATTCTTTCAGTCAAATATTCCCACAACATATTGGTCTGAATGTATTTTATGTGCTACATTCCTTATCAATCGTATTCCTTCACATGCTCTTGATAATTTGTCCCCTTTTCAGAAACTGTATGAGTATCCACCAGATTATTCACGATTTCGGAGTTTTGGATGTTTAGCTTTTGCTTCAACACTTCTCAGTCACAGGGACAAATTTACTGCACGTGCCAGATGTTGTATTTTTATTGGTTATCCAATTGGAATGAAGGCATATAAAATGATGGATGTTGAGACAAAAGAAATATTCATATCTCGTGATGTTGTGTTTCATGAACATATTTTTCCTTTTAAACATTCCATATATAACCATCAGTCAGACCCTTTTCATTCAATGGTCATACCTTGCTCACAAGATGATACTTTTATTTCTGACCCTTTACCTGATTCATCTGTTACAGTTGCTAATACAGATCCCATTCCCATTGTCAATGAAGATCATTCAGTTGGAAATCAAAGACCTCAAAGAAATAGAACCCGTCCAACTTATTTACAAGATTATCATTGTGGTCTAGTAAACAATGTGACCATTGATACTAATGCAAAATACCCTTTATCTTCTGTTCTTTCTTATTCCAAACTTTCACCTAAATACCAAGCATTCACTCTTGCTATTTCAGCTGAGTCTGAACCACAATCCTATTCTGAAGCATCTAAATCCAAAGAGTGGCAATTAGCTATGCAAGAAGAATTGAAGGCTCTCGAAGCAAATAACACTTGGACGATAGTACCCTTACCTCCTGATAGAAAGGCTTTGGGTTCTAAATGGGTGTATAAAATCAAAAGACGTTCTGATGGTACTGTTGAGAGATACAAGGCACGCCTTGTTGCCAAGGGTTTCAATCAACAAGAAGGTATCGATTTTCTGGATACTTATTCCCCTGTCGCTAAACTTGTTACTGTCAAATTACTGCTTGCTTTAGCTGCTCAACGTTCTTGGCCTCTTATTCAATTGGACGTGAATAATGCTTTCTTGAATGGGTCTTTGGATGAAGAGGTTTACATGAAATTACCCCAAGGATATAGTTGTCATTTTGTCTCTTCAAATGGTAAACCATTTGTCTGCAAACTGGAGAAATCTTTATATGGCTTGAGGCAGGCATCTCGTCAATGGTATGCCACCTTTTCTTCATTTTTACTTTCTCAAGGATTCACACAATCGAAAGCTGATTACTCATTGTTTTATAAGGGCAAAGGATCGTCATATGTAGCTCTGTTAGTATACGTGGATGATATTGTGTTAACAGGTGCTTCTCTTCATGAAATTGATTCTATTAAACAATCTTTAAGCAACAAGTTTAAGCTTAAGGATTTGGGAAAGTTACAACATTTCTTGGGTCTTGAAATTGCCAGATCAACAGATGGCATTTATATTTCGCAACGACAATATATTCTTAATCTCCTAGAAGAAACTGGCATGTTAGCTGCCAAACCAGTCCATTATCCAATGGATCCTGCATGTAAAGCATCAAATTTCAATGGGACACCCTTATTGGATCCTTCTCAATATAGACGTTTAATTGGACGGTTAATGTATTTAACCATAACACGACCAGACATTACCTATGCAGTAAATAGGTTAAGTCAATTTGTTACAGATCCAAGATTACCTCATCTTCAAGCTGCTAATCATTTGCTCAAGTTCCTCAAACTCAATTCTGGTCAAGGATTGTTTTTGTCTTCTAAACCTTCTTTAAAGATTACAGCTTTTTCTGATTCCGATTGGGCAGGATGTCCGGATACTAGAAGATCTATTTCTGGTTTTTGTGTTTTTCTAGGAGACTCCATGATTTCTTGGAAATCAAAGAAACAATCCATTGTTTCTAGATCATCCACCGAAGTTGAGTACCGAGCCATTGCTATTGCTACAACTGAGATTATTTGGCTTCATCATTTGCTGAGCAATTTT